TTTTCTTGGAAGCGCTCTCAGGCCAATTTTGTGCCTCATTAAGCCACTTGGGTTTATATAAGAATTCTTTTTCTCTCCAATGGTCACATCGGCCGTCTGGGTTGTCCAAAAATTTTACTTCAGAAAATCTTGCAAAATACTTTCGCTATGGACAGTTGCCGCATGAGGAACTATGTACGGAGAACTTCACTCCGTGGGCCAAGCTCCTTCCGTGTAAAAAGCTGATGGGACTTGCTAGTCTCCTCAAGCCAAAGTCAATATTTAGAGCACGATATAACTCACTAAACATTGAATTACGCCGTGTGTGCTCCGTAAGTTTCTTTATACTATATTTACTCTAAAGGCTCCGGACTGTCAGCATCTCTCGGTAGAACTGCAACAATCACTCTCGATCGTTTTCGACAGGAGATACCTATATGCCGATTTAGGAGGTACGTATCCTTTCCGTTCGAAACTTATTATTTCCAGTTGACTACTCCGAATTATAAATTGCATAATCAGGAGTAGTCCTGGGGTGTTAAGCTTTTACATCTTCTCAACCATCTCTATCTCTGGTGGCGTTATAATAATTTGCAGCTGAATATTCTCATTTGCCTCTTCTCTTGGCCGTGTACACTAATTTTGGTTTCCTAAATTCGAGGTCTCTGTGATATCCTTAGCCTTATTGTGAGGTCTTGAACTTTCAGTTGATGATGGACAGTCTTATGCTACGAAATATGCATTTGAATTGCAAGTAGATTACTCTAGGCTACCATTTTCACCGAAAGACTTCCGTTTTGTGATTTTAGACTTATTTTCCACCTGGATACTTTGTGGGTGATGTTATCTCTACACGCTGTTATTGTGCAAATTTATTTCGAGTACAAAGTGAATATAAATCACGTTCTTAGATGATTGACACAATTAGCCAGACTGTGTATACCTCAGATTAGTGTATGGGTTCTCCTTTTATGACTTATTCTTCTAATTATTATTTTCATAATTAAAAGTGAATATGTATACATCCGTACATATCACAAAAAACTTCGCGGAAATTAGTTACTTCATTGTTTCTCTTATGAAGAGTGGTCATCGCCGAGGCTTTTTACAAGATGTTGGCAAGCCAATCTATGAACAGAAAACAAGACTATGTTACATCAGGAAATTGTCTTCGTTGGCTGACAGCATCCAAGAGTACTAAACCCGGATCAAACGGTTAGTCCTAATGTATCACATTGGATGAAGAGATAGTTCAGTTAATTACGCTGGATGAATAGGCCGTTTATCAGCGAAACGAATGGGGATGTTTAACGAAACAATGGAACTACGATGAAGTTTCATAGGCCCAATGCCACATGGTGAAAACTAACCACACTTTTGTTAATGATCAGCACTATATGCAGTACGTTCAGCCCTTGCATGGACCTATTTGCCTGTCTGTGTGCATCTATAGAAACTCAGTAAACCAGCACAATCCTCGTCTCTTCCACCACTTTTCCTTACTCGTGCTCACAAATGCAATCTACTCACGAGCATATTTGGTTAAACGCTTATACGGATAAATTATTAGTTAAATATTAGGCATTACCGCTTAAACCACTTTTCGATACAGCTTGCCCAGCGCTTTATGGCGGAAAAATTCATATGTGAGAATTTGTACATCGCATCTTTTAAGGGCCCGACTTTTTGACGAAGTCGGGTTATGCAGCGTGGCGGACCAGTACCTGTACAGCATGCGCAGACAGACACTTTCAGACTACACAAGCTACTGTACCAAATGCCATCAACGACTGGTTTACAGGCTCGGACCCTCGACAGGTGTACTAGGAAAGACATGGTAAAGCCTATATTGAGAGACGACTCATCCTGATGACAATCAGTGTGTGGGCCACCATAAAAAATCTGCCAAGCTTGAACCTACCAACATGCACTATCATGCGGCTTTTGAAGGTTACCAACTGACAGAGTAAATAAATCCTACTCAAGACAGGGGATCTGTCTGCAACGACTTCTTAAAGCAACCTTTGTGGTTCTCGTCTACGTGAGATCCGATGCATCTATCGGATTGAGTTCTGACACATTCAGGTCATGCGCGGCACGGCATGAGACAGTGGTAGACATCGTCTATTGTGATTGTAGAACCATCCACCTCACCCATCATTCCCCCCCCATTCGCCACTTTTGCACGTCTTCTCATCCTGTTTCATTATCGTCAAATGTTCTGTCAACGCCCGTGGGCAAGCCGCGTGACAAGCCCGGATCGAGAGGCTTCTCAAGCTTGTTTTTTTTGCTGGCTACCTTGTTAACTAGTGTTTCCTATGTTGAAACTTTGTATTTCTGTGTGAACCTTACTAGCCCCCTGGTCTCTGGCAGCACTGCTTGGCGGAAGACTAACAGAGGCGTGCCCAGTTGCCTCACGCAGTCAAATAGTTGTGTTGCAGTCACGGCCAAGACTCACTCTGTCACCGGCCCCCCTCCCGATCGACTCTACCGTTTGGGATCCGCGCAGGGTATTTGCTATCTACGACAGCCACAAGGTGGCCAACTCTCTCATCATAACAACCCTGGAACGTTCAGACCAGCGAGCCAAAGAACTGACCACACCGGTATCTTTGATGAAGTACGCTACCGGAAAGGGTGACATCGGCGGTGGCGTGCGTATTGTCCTACGCAATAGAATGGATGTTCCTGTGAAGGCAGTGCTCTTTGATAGCGCCCCTTGGTACACGGAGATTTATTACAGTAGCCTGAAGGCAACCTGTCAGGACGCAGCTGGAAGGCCGATGGACCCTTGTACTCTTGGTACGCTTATTGAGACAATTCTTTCTGTTCTCCAGCATACTGTCCGCTCTTGTTAGTTAGAGCCATTCTCATCTCAGGAAGCCCTTCTTTGGGCCTAGTTAGTTTTCATCTGGAGAAACCCACACTTTGGGACTATTTTATGCATCCCTGGGGGAATTGCCTGCCTGTCATCCCGACCAGATGAAGTACGTCTACCTTTAGAAAGTATCCGAGGCAAGCCTCTTCTAAGCAGCTTTAAGACTGACGGAAAGTTTTTAAACTCGTATGGTACACTTACCAACCACTGGACGCTATTGGACTTTAGCTTGTGAGATTTGTGCCGCGGTTATATTATTTTTGTGAAATTAACTAACTCGGCAACGGATTAGATTCACCGATGCAAACTATTTATACCTTTTGTCGATGAGGGTGTTAACATATTTCTTATCGTATAACAGGCCTGGATGAATACAGCATATCTGTGCTTCAAAGAGAGCTTACTTGTCTCAGGGCAGGGCCCGTTTAATTTTTTAATCCACAATTCGCATACCAAATTTCCTCTCTCGGTCCTATTAAACGTAATCACGCATGTTTTTTGTTGGTAGCCGACTGTCCGGCATGTGCAGCGCGCGGCTTTCCAATAGCAACCACGCAAAGTAGCCTACTTATGCGAACTAGGTGCAAGTCTGCCTGTATGAGCTTCTCCGTACCATATTTCTTTCATATCTATGGCCAGTTGACGCTGGGTTCGTGTATCTTCAGCTCTGAAAAGCTAATTCACGTATCCTCACAAGTAGGCTCATCGAATGTGAACTTATTAAATTCGGTATAGTGAAGTTCGTGTGACTTTCTCGATCGAAATTTCATAAGGTGGCTATTAATTTTGATGCATTGATCCTTCCGTCTGCCCTTGCAGATCTAACTACACTGCGTTGACATTTATAAGGCAGTGGTTACGTGATTAACTTGTCGGAGCTCGTAACTGGAATTTCATTCACAGATTTCGACATCTTCAGCCCATAACCCACCGCCAGTCCCTTAACTGCTGATTGTGTCTGCTTGTGCATATTCATTTTAGACCGTGTCACTTTTCGACCTAGCGTGGTGCGTGAACGCATGGCTGTCCTGGAGGTGCTGCTGACTCTGCCCGCTAATTCCCTTCTTACCGTCTCCTACAACTTTAAGAAGATCCTGATGCGCTGGAATGAGTATCCGCCTGATGCTAATCATGGCGTCTACCTTCCCGCAGCCAGTGTAGCCTTTCAGCTCTCGGTGGAGAGGTCTAAACGGTTGCATCAACAGCAAAAACCGGTGGATTGGGAGGCTGCTTTGCCAATGTGGGCCGGTACATATGCAGACTTCTTGTAAGTTCATCGTTTGATTCCAGTTGATTTTTTTCACATCAACGGTTCCGCAATTTAGACTGGATTGATCTCTCTTAATCGTGATTACTGATTTATTTACATTCACCGGGCGACCCGTGTAGACTAGCCGGTAATGGGAAGAATCGGATGGCCTTGCAGTTATACAGTAGTTGCCGTTTATTAAGTCCACATCGGGCCCAGACCAAATTGAGCTTAATAAGCGGCTGGGCTTATTAACCATGGGCTTAATAGCCGGCGACTACTGTATAAAGAATGGCTAATCTGCTGCCTTTCTTCGTGCCTGCAGACACCCGGGTACTCTGGATTATAAAGGCTGCCAAGAATGACGTTTTTCTCTTCCTAATAAGTTGTCCTCGTATATTCCACGACCAGATAGCCGGATGCTGCCGCTGTTGTTGTTTTTTATCTGCGATTTTATACGCTGAACTGTAGGCCAGTTTTGCTTGGTTTTCCTGTATCATTGTTGCAACTCTAGCATAGGAGAACTATTCGCAAACTACAACGCAGACTTAGATGCAACTGGTGGCCATTTTCTTTTCCTTTGACCCATGCTGAAATTCCGGACGTGTCGACATTTCCGAGCCAAATTATGTTCTTCTACTTTTCCATCTTCACTTGTTCATTTCGCTACTCTTTTTCTACCGTTCAGCTCACTCAACCATTCCGGTGTTCTGAG